ATCGAATTTCCCCCCCCCCTTCTTCTACCATCGCGAAATACAATAACGATGGACGCGACAAAATTAGACCGTCACGTTTATGCTGCGGGGGCGCCAACTCACACACCCACGGTCAAAAAAAAAAAAAAAAATCGTATTGGGTGTTTTCGGGGGTGCTAGACACCTCTTAGCACCCCTCTGGTTGCGCCTATTATTAATAGGAACTTTGCGTCCGATTTTCCCGGATCGGAAATTCACTCGAATCGATTGACCGCAGCGAGTAACACGCACCGTACGCGTAGTGGCGTTATTAAGTTATTGTTTTCACAAACGTTTTATAGTATGGTCTATCGTTTATGATTTATCATTGAATTTTAAAATCACAGGTACATGTAAATAGTATAGCCGATTGTGTCCACGGAGTTTTTTTTAACGATTTTCGGAATTCATTTAACGCAATGACGGCAGCGGCGGCGGCGACGACGGCTTGGCTGCGGTGTACAGTGGCGTCGGCCGTTTGTCGCTTTATCATTACAAAACCTTTACATACTCCGGCACGGGGGCGTGCTGAACATTTTTCATGCCTGACGCAAAACAAAAAAAAAAAAAATAAAATAATAGGACCCACCCAATCGAAACGCGGACTTTTATAGATGTCCTGCAATGAAAATACAGCAAAAACTTTATTTAGCTTTATTGACTGCACAAGGCATAGGCAAAGGCATAAAACTAAACACATCTCTGTTCTCCGAACTGGTCAGTCTCAACCGACAGTGAACATATTTAGTCGGCCGTCGGCCGCCCGCCCGCCCATTTAATCCCCGAGCAAATCGCCTAAAAAACAGCTACTCCGACACGCCACCCGCTCCGGCATAGAGTAGGTACCGACTACTCCAGTCGGCGTAATAGGTTTGCCTTGGACATATCACTAGAGTGAGTCCGACACAAATACCTACGATACATAAACTAACTGCTATGATATTGTATACTGATTACTGGGCCGTATAATTGATAGGGGCGGCCGGCAGTCAGGCTTCGGACAGTTCTTCCAAAAAAATAACTCACGTTTAAATTTTATCAGCGTGACCAACCCTGAAAAACTAAAAAAACTATGAAACCGCATTACGGTTAATAACGATCGGATTTCAATAGACCGTCCGTTATAATTTATCACAGCTGTTATACGCGCGAAGTGAATTCATTTAAATTAATGACGTTATTTTGTAAAATATGGTTTCGCGGTTTTCGAAACAATTTCCAAATATTAAAAAATTAATTTGATTAATTATTTATCCATTAAAACGAACGATTGTTTAACAAATGTATGTTTTTTTTTTCATTTAAGTTTAATATCTTTTTAAAGTAAATGTCTAATTAATACACCGTATTGATAAAAATCTAACTTAAATTTGCAAAAAAATAAGATCTTAACTGAAATAAATGTTTTTAATTTTAAATACGAAATTTTTCTTGGCGAGTTTAGTAAAATCGTTGTCGGTACTGCGTATATTTTAAAAATTATGTAACATTTATTTCTGATCAGTTTAACCCATTCTGATGACAGCCTTTAAATTCGAAGCCTTATCATATACTTTTATATTATGATAGCTGATTGAGTTTGTATTTTTACTATTGTTATCGCGGTGACCAAAACCGTAATTATTTTTTTATTACCTCTATGTATTACAGTAGTAATTTAGTAATTTAATTTAAATCTGTAGGGAACGATAAACCATTGCTATAATTAAAAAACGATTCTGAGGGGATTATTAAAAGTCATATGTTTTTCTTCGTTGCCAAGGTAATCCGGAAATCAGCATAAATTGTGTACAAAGATAATAATATTTATGGTAAACATTTGTTTACAAACACAAACTTAATTTTTCCTGGTTATTCTTAATTATTATGAAAACCGCTTGGAAAATCGAAAAACTACGTCCCTATTGCACCAAGTAGATAAAATTTCCTCTCAAAAAAAATGTTACACTCAATACATCGGAGCAAGATTTCTGGTAGAAAAGTTGCTCGCAGAAAAAAATTCGCTGTTACGCTCCGAATCTAAAAAATAAATTTGCTAATAAATGCCTAAATTCCCGAAATTTTTCAAAAAAACAGAAGACTACGTATTCTATAGAGACAGCATGCTGCGTACGGTCGGCCGCGTATAAATTATGACGAATTTTTTCGCGTCACGTAAAGCGGTACACACACTAATTTCGTGTGGTTTCGAATGACCATTTCCGGCACGTGTCCAAGTATATTAATAGTATAAATATATTAGTCTCGTCTCTGTGTTTTGCCATCGTGTATACACCTACTATATCATATACTCGTACTTATATTGTTTGTATGTATACGATTATGAGCAGTGTGTGACTTGGTAGCGGGCGAATTTCTTTTCCTCGATGGACCATCGCTACTAGTGGTGCGGTTTTGACAATATAACGTATAATGTATTTCGTTTGTTACGCGTATACCGATTCCCTTTTATGGTTTTAATGGCATTCGAAACGGATATTTTCTTTATTTGTCTACCCATCGGAATATACCGCGATGTTAACAGTTTATACCTCGATTTTCTGTCCACCGTTGATCAATATCAGTCTGATTGTCCATCGACGTAGCGAAACGATGAGAATTCTAAAAATGTTTTTGAATTTAATCGTCAACTGTCACACAAATTCATACCAATTACAGAGATTGCACACCAAATTTTTAAGGAAAACAAATTTTAAAAATCGCATTGAGGCTCCCATTCCCTGGGCCATTGTTCCGTTACATCGATTTGTAAGTAATGATAGACAGAAAATTGATTTAAATTACTACGCAGCAGTGCATTTGTGTTATAGCTAAAGAAAGAAAATATCCTTTTTAATTTCAGTTTATTAGTTTATTTTCAGAAAAAAAAAAGATAACTCATCATGAATTTTAATAATAAAAAAAAAAAAAAAAAATGAACAAATATTTCCTATAAAACATGGATAATAAATCAAAGAATTCAAGAACGTTTTCAAAATTAAAACTAGACGAGGTGAATTTCATTCCAGCCTATTGGTATAAAACGTCATATCTAAGTAAATGACCGTACTATACTTATCACTTAAAAAGGTATGGTCAGTGGATTAAAAGCGCTATATTAAGATTAAAATTTTTTTTACAAAATTATATACAATTTGGAAAATCGTTTTTAAGTCCCCCTTACGAGAATTATAATTATGTATAACATATTTACATGGTTGTATTGATTATTATTTCTCTTTATATATTATACAAAATGGCTTTACGGTGATTTAAATCCCGTATAAATAAACAAAAAAAAAAATAGGTACTGGTTCAGCTTAAACCGTTTGAATCGCTTTAATATCATTAAGCCATTAGAAATTAATAATATTTTGTATGAATGTCAACTTTGTCAACCTCTGGTCATAAAACGTTATAATGTATCATTTTTTTATAAAGCGAAAAAAAATTATTACCCCTACAATTAATCGATATTAATACGTATTATTATGGTAATGTTTAGCCATCACGGTGCACGATTCATAATAATAATAATAACTAAATATATTCCTGCGCTAAATTTATTATAATTTATCTATTCTCCAATCTTATTGAGTTATATTGCATTTCTCGGATACTCGAGGCGCACGAGTTGCACAGGTCTGTAGCTATAAATCGAAATTTCGTAGGCACGCGTATTCTTTTTTAAGGCGATTAAAAAATCGATAAAACTGATGCGATTTGAATTGATAAACAAGTCGCTATTGATAAAATAATAAATCTAAGATGTTCGAAAACGTTGCAAAATATTTGTGTTATCGTTTTAAAATTATTGTTATACTGATTTTTTGTACACGAATTATTATGTTCGCATCACGGACCACTTTTTCCAACATTAATAATGTTCATCGGCATCGAGGTATTATATCCTCGACTGCACAGCACATAAGTTCGCGGTCGAAGCTTCAAACGATTTGGCGCGTTTCTATAATATAAGTAATAGATCATAGTTTCGAATTGAGGACATCCTCCTAATGTTTATGAGTAATGTAACGAAATATTTATGTTTTCGTGTATGTGTAATGATGATGGGTTTTGCAAGCGTTTCGGCCGTACGTACAGACGATGGGGTTCATTACTCAGCGGACAATAATGAATATACAGTGTGTCTCACGAAGATATACCCATTGCAATATCTCCTGAGATAATAAAGATAATCAAATTTTTATATTAATCGCAAGGTCTACAAATATTTATATTTTAATTCAATTTTTATGTTTTATAAAATTAAGTTTTTATTGTATTATTTTCGAACAATTTGAAAATAGCCATTTTGTAGAATTTATTTTTCTGAACATTTTGACGGATCAACTTTTTATTTTAATTTAAGTCGTGATTTTTAATAATTTTTTAAAGTATACAGAGAAAAGTATCTATAATTATATGCAGCAGGCTGTAATCACATTCGCTAATATTCGAATATTATTATTATGGTTTATTGACTGCGCGCTTTTTTTTTCTGGACTTGAAAATCAAACTTTCGACACGTCAAAATGTTCAGAAAAATAAACCCAAAGAGATAATGCGATGTTTATATATATCTTTGTGGGACACCCTGTATAAATGTATATATGTACGGTTATAATATTATATACCTCGATTTGACCTTATTTTGTAATAACACAAAAAAAAAAAAAAAAAAAAAATAATAAAAAAACCGATTCCCTCGAAGTTTACAGTATCTATTCGAATTTAAACGCGTTAATTATAACATAATATTTGAAACATACCTAATTGAATATATAATAATTCCGAGCGATGAAACGTGTATTACATACATTTTGTATTATTATTACTATTAAATTGTGTCGTTGTAAACGTATCTTCCTTTCGGTTTTGCCGTTTATCACAATAATAGTTCTTTACGCGAAATATTGGGAAATAAAAAAAAAAAAAAAATAATAAAAAAACCGATTCCCTCGAAGTTTACAGTATCTATTTTTATGTTTGGATTGCGTACAACTTTTGCATGGATGTTTTATATATAGTAATAGCGTAAAATCGTGAAAATCCGAATCGCACCACACTGCGCAGAGCACACAAATTATGTTTCGTTACAGGTCGACTAATAGGATGCGTACATAATAATAAAATATTAATCACGAATTATGTTCGTAATTTACTCACAGTGTATTTAATCCGATACAGGGCATTAAGATAATTAATTCGGTATTACGCGTAATCAATGGGAAATTAATTCGGAGTCTTATTATTTAGGCATACGCCGGTTCGGGTCTCTTAAACGTCAATCGATTGTAGATTTATTAGATATTATCGGGAGAAAAAAACCCTACTAAATGTATACACGCGTATTAACTCAATAAGTTTATCTCTAAACGATTATTATAATTACTTCAACTTGTACCCGGGCATAAAGCAGCCCCGCGGGATTTTAAATATTCCCGGAAAATCACTATAAACAGCTGCAAATTCGCTCGGAAATATAAAAATCAATTTCAAAAATGTTCGTCGAAACTCACCGCTAATCCTAACCGAACCCACACGCCCCTCGCCCAAAGCTGACCATTTGCATATGATTTTTTTTTAATTTTTTTGTTGTATTCAAATTATATTCGATACCCGTCACAAAATAAACATCCTAGGACTTTGGGCCAAAATTACGACTAAGCCGTATCGTGTAAAATGTTGTATTTAAACTAAATGGCTGTTTGCGACGGCTATGATAAAAAAATAAAGCTGCCTATTCGATCCGCATCGTCTATACTTTAGGTGTTAGGCATAGTATTATTATCGTTTGTCCAACAATTTAATTAATCGTGACACTAGTTTCATTATGTTTCATAGGAAAGTCCATACTGTATTTTAGTTATGGCATTACCTCGGCAGTATATATTATTATTGTATATTGTAATATTCGTCTGAATTTTGTGTTGACATTTTGCGATCGGCGAGACAGACACTAGTGTAGATTAAGTCCGTTATTAATTGAATTTATTTTTCGATCGATACTGTCGATTTAATAATACCTGTACGTGTATAGAGACTACGTGTTTAATATTCAAAATTTAAATTAATTTACAATGTAGTACCTATATATTTTTGTCCACTTTAAATACTATCCTTTCGTAAAATGCACAAAGACAATACTATGTAATTTATATAGTGTATTATAAATACCAGGAGCGAACGCAGGGAAAAATTTCTAGTGAGGTGAAGGCCCTAAGGATATCCACGCCTATCATATTCACGTCCTTACAAAGGCCATGGATATTGCTATACTCAATTTATTATTTAAAGTTTGAATTTAAATTTACATTTTGGAATGGGTTCGAACCCTCAACCTCCTCCCCTCTGCGGTCGTTACTCGTAAATCATATTTTCTAAATTTTCCGAAAATATAGTGTTTATAGTGTATTTTTCGAATTGATATAAAATTCGTTTTTTCGTCCATACAATTTTTATATGTAAATAGTTCACGTTATTTTTTTAACGTCATCACTGTTATCAGAACTAATATATTGTTATATGTACGATGGAACTTTCGAACTTCGTAATCAAAGTTTCCGGCTTGTAAATAAGTAAATAACAAATGTTAGTTCACACTGGTATATTGCGTATGTATAATTAACCGTACACCTAACTAATAAGTATACTTATATATTTTTAGAGCGTTACGCTAATTTTGCATTTATTACTCTATTTACCTGGTTGAGATTTTATTTTGTTATCTTTGAGATTTTACACTGCTACCTAAATTAATATTATTATTCTCGAAACATTTCCAACAATCGTGTTCTATCATAAATCGCGGTTATTATAATATTATATAGTTTCTGTGCTCGTCATTGTTTCATTAGTAACACGCGTAATACAGGCATATTATTATCTATGCTAAGAATTAGTTTACATTTTTTCTTTTACCCACCCACGATAGTTTATGAAATACAAATATAATTTCACGAGGGGTTTTTGACTATATAATAATATTTCGACAATAGCAATTAGTCTCGGAGCATTATAATATTGATATTATTATTTTTATCAAACAAAATATATTATTGTACGCAATAAATCATCAGTGAGTTAACGTTCACATTTTATAGATAAACCAACGTGAGACGTGTAATAGATTTTTTAATATTTATTTTGAAAACAATTTGTATTATTTACTGTTGAAATGTGTGTATTTATTTAAATATTATATTAGATCACTTTCAAATTATAACATACAGCCCGACATATTATTTACTTAATTATCTATATTGATGTTGTGAAAACGTAATACAATATCAATTGTTAATTATCTTATCAAGTGAGCCCAGTATAATTGTACAATAGTTGCTAATTATATTAATATTCAGATGTGATTAAACCGGTGTAAATATCTTAGTACCTAATAGAAATTTGAGGTGAATGGTTTGGTTGTTATGTTTGCTGATAGATGGCGCGCCCTGGTTTTAAATGATCGAAATTTTTTTGTCTTCAAATTACAATAGCTGCGTTAGTAGAAGTAAATTTAAATTGCAATAAGTATATGACAATAATTATTTAAATCGTTATCATTACGTATTTTGTAACTGATATTCGGTTTTTCGGAAAATAAAACTGTCAAGTGGAGTCTAAAAAATAATCGAGAGGAGTTTCCGAAAGAATTACCTGAACCCAACTAAATTTTTAGGACACCATTACAGTCGAGACTAACAAAATATTTTTCTTCCGCACACATTTGTTCATAACAAAAATAGTGTTTAAAAATAAAATGCACATCTCGAAATATTATCCCGCACAGAGGTATGCTTGATCAGTAAAAATATCTGATTACGTGTGTAAACGTATAATATTAAAAAAAAGATATATTTTTTAATAAAACTAATTAGAGTTTTTAAAATTACATTGAAAATAATCCGGTGAAAACAATTAATAAAGCGTGTTCCCGGACTTTCGAGACTCGCCTAATACTGAGCAGAATATTGTTAGTCGTATTTTCACCTTTATTACCATAATAAGTAAAACCCAGACTTTAACAAAAATTGTACAAACAGTTGCCAGTTAATTCGTTTATTAAAAGAAAAACACGAGGAAAATCAAAAAATTATCCATCGTTGCTTCAACCAAATCAAACGTGCCATAAGAACGTCCCCGTAAAGTTTTCGTTCGGAGCACGGTTAGAACGGTCGTTTACAGACTCGACGCCTGGAAAAATAACGAGTACTCTGGAGTAAAACCGATTTCCTCGCTTCACTCAGAATCTAATAGAACGGTACGATAGTGCCCGCGTAGTGACGGAATAAAAATGTTTTTATTTTTTTTTTTCGTCTTAAATAATAATCGAAAGCCGTTGTTTTAAGTGCTAACGCATGACGTTACATGTGCATTGCGCACCGACAGTAATGTACTAAACTCGTTAAGAGGAAGTAATACAAGTGTACAATAAGCTTTTTGTATTAACACGGGGCGAGGCGGCGGCCGTCGTCAATTAATGGGTAACGCGGATAATAATGTGAAAACCCCGAATGAGTATAATTTTTTTTTTTTCTTTTAGCCTATTGCAGAACCGCATAACCGCGATAGTATACCGTTTTCGTCGTTTAAAAGTTCGTGTGTTACGACGCGACACGCACAATGTGTACTCGGTTTCGAAACGTTCAATTTCGTTTGGTTTTTTCGACGCGTTTTTGTCGCCACGATGTTACAATAATGTTTTTATTTTATTTCTTTTCTTAAACGCATTTCACGGTTATTAATATTTTTTATTATTGTTATTATTATAATACGTTGTACGGTGTTATTGCGTTTTACGTGTGTCGGGCGGAAGAATTGACAATCGTTGCGGAAGTTTTCGCGACTTTTCCCTCGGAAAACCGTACACGACGTGTATAAAATAGACCGGCGTCGACGGTCGCAGCGGCACCGTGCCGGCGCAGAAGTCATTGCTGCGGCGGAGTACTGCGCGCGAACACTCGGAGGACCGACCGTAATCGCATTTACTATGTTCGTTATACAGGGCGATTCGGTGTCCACCGCGAAGACCCGAACCGGCGATCGCGTTTGATCTGCGTGCACAACATCGCGTTGTCCGTCACGCATTTGTCGTTCCCGGACCGTCGGGATATTTCCCGGACTTTAACCGCGTGTGTTCCGCGCACGGATCACCGTCGGCGCGACAGCGAGCCGCGTAAATCCGCGACCGGTCGAATTACAACGAGATAAAGAGAGACGGAGACGGAGAGGGAAAAAAAAAAAACACCCGACCCGGCGCGTGATGTTTCAAGCAGTTTATCGCCGTAATCTCTACGCCGTTTACGAACAATACTGTAACTGTTACGCAACATATTCGGACATTTAGGTCAGTCGGGCGGGGACGGGTCCGTTGTGTTTCGAACGCGGATAGCTCGTAGTGACATTTGTAGCGCCGTAAGTGCGTAGACGCCGAAGCGAAAAGTATGCGATTTTCGGATGCGAGGCTTTTTTTTTTTTTTATTTTTTAAAAATACCGGTTACCGTAACCGTCAAACGCTGTTTCCGGCCGTGGCCGAGTGTTGGGTATTGTTATTACAATTATTGGGAGGGCGTAGCGGGTACGCTGAAAAAAAAAAAAAAAAAAAAGTCCCACAAAAATACATTTATCCAGGGCCTCGCGAATCGTAACGCCGGCCCTGGCCAAAGGCGTTTGGAAATCAATAGTTTTACGCGGACCGGTGACGTTTTTGGGACATTTTTGGATTGCAAGACCGCACGTTATTGCAAACGACGTTTCCACGGTACATTGTCATGACGAAGAAAAAAAAAAGAAAAAAAAAAACTGTGGACTTGTCGATACCACATTTTTACCGATATAAAACCGATACTGGATATTTGAAATCGAAAACCACGAGTTCATATTGAAATTAATCGACATATCGGTTGAAAATCATTTTTTTTTTTTTTTTCTGCGAAAAACCACCAGATACCCGCCGGTAATCGAAGAAATAAAAAACCGAGATCGAAAATGTTTATGAAAACGTTCGTAGACAAGCAGATCGCTGCAGGTCGTCGATAAAAATGTAATCACTCTGTATGTTATTATTGTGGGTACATAACGGTTGCGTAACTGGCGTATATTTTATGTATTATAGTACATAAAATACATTGTATATATATATATAGTTTATACATATTATTATATTATATACTCTGCTGGGTTTTTATCGTTCATTATCTACATGTATACAGCGACAGGTGATATTATGCATGTATAATGTATGCGTATTATAACATATATATACATGTTATCTATTTGCGGGAAGGGGCTCGAGCACGACCGAGAAAGTTGGCGAGTCCTTGACGCGGTCAATCCACTCGGATGGCGAATGTGGGTCACGCGCGGTTCCTCCCCACCCGCCGATCGCGCGCGCGGTTCGTCATTCGCCGCCAATGTACTATGTGCACATACACGAGGTCGTCACCGTCGTCGTCGATTTGTGTGTTTGCGCGTGTGTGCGTGTGTGTGTGCGCGCGCGCGCGTCCGTGTGCGCGGCTTGAACGCGAGCGCGTATACGCATTCGCACAAAACGGGTACGTATCGTGCGTGCGTGTGTACGAGCGCCGCGCCAACAATGACGGTATTTTCGATGCGTACCTTACGTACAAAGGTCTCCGACGCATGCATACGTGTGCGTACAGTTGGCTCCGCGCGGTTCGTAACGATATACGCGGGTACACAATATAATGACCGGTAGAAAATGTTATTGTGTTCGCCGCGGCGGCGGCGGCGGCGGCGAGAGCTATAGGTACCCCCCGTACGTGATAATAATACGCGGCGCCGCGTCGTTTCCGATCCGCGTAGGAAAAAAAAAAACAACGCTTTGCCAAACTTCCTTTTTTCTTTTTTTTCTTTTTAAGACGGACCAATTGTTCTAATCGGAGCCGCGAAAACGATAAAAAAAAAAACGGACAGTGTTTTTCCCGAAATCAAACGTTGGGTTTTGAAAATTTTCAACAATCCGCAACGCGTTTTAATGTGTATAAATGTCCCCGCCGGATATTTCTTTTTCTTTTTTTCTTTTTGGCCTTAGGGAAGAACGGGGCTTCGGTTAATTTCCATTTTATGCGGTCGCGCCTTGCGCAATTTGTTTCCATTTTTTTTTTTTTTTTGCAAGTTTGGACATTTTGGCACGAGTCGTCTTAATAAAGTCATTTTCGTTTGACCGAATTACCCAAAACCGAGTTCGCACAGACTTGAGTTGTTTACAACGTTTAGTCGCGTTTAAGTTAGACCGGTTAGTATACTCAAGCCATTTATCAATTTGACAAAATGTATTACGCTATTCATTGAAAACTGTACGAAACCGACTGAAGCCGTTTTTTCCCGAGGACCGAAGTTATATGCGTACATAGGTATAATACTCGTACTCAGGTTTTCTAATTTTTCATGACAGTTCAATTCTGAAAAAGTCAGACGTATACTGCGCAAAATAATCCAGAAGCAACCCACCCAGTACACATCCAACAATATTTCCCGATATTCGCAATATAATATATGTCCAGCGATATGGTGCTCATGTATTTTTTTTTTTTTTTTTTTTTTACCGAATTAATTGTAAACGGACATTAATATGCAATTATTTTCACATTGAGCGAAATAAAATGGAAAAACAACTTGCTACCGAGACATTGTAAGATGTACGTATATCGCTGGTTCGTTAGGTGTGTCCCAAAAGGTTTGCACCTCGACGTCGAATTCTCGTTGTTTTTTTTTTTTTTTTTTTGTTTTCTTTTTTCCTCTGCTACGGACAACTTCGATAATAACGATACACGAGCGATGCAAACGTATTTATGTATAATGTGTACAGAAAATAAATGTCGAAAATTCGCCACGCATCGCACGCCTACACAAAACACGACAATAGATAACAATAATAATAATAACAACGCCGCGCGTGTTTGAACACGTATTGTATTATTGTACGCCGACAAATTCGCACGTAAAGCACCACACTCGTTGTACGGTACCTGTTTATTGGTTCGGTTGCAATGTTGTGTTTTACGTTTCGCGAGATAGACGAAAATATCGCGGGAACGCCGAAGAAAAACGGTTTTATCGCTGGCAACGGTGCAGCTGCGCGCAGTCGATACATAACCGTTGACCTTGTGCGAACGTGTACGTGTGCGCTCGATGTAGGACAAGCGTATTATAAAACGCCGCGATTTTCTCGAACGGGGGGGTCTCGCGCGCGTTCTTCTGTTATCGCAGAATTTTTCTTTGTGCGAAAATCACCGAAATTCCGTCCGAAATTCTACGTCAGTAATAATACTGCCCGTGGCAGTGTCCGCGAAATTCGCCATTCCATTCTCTGTGCGCCCAAAACTGAAACGGCGGGTTTTACCGCCTGGTTATAAAAAAAAAAAACGTTGTAATGAAACGTGCGTAGACGCGATAACGTTTCGAAGACAATCTCGCGTAGGCGCGCTTTTTTTTTTCAAATATCAACTATCTAAAAAATTACGGTCGTCAGACGGAAAACAAAAATTGTATGGAATACGATTTTTTCGCGCTTTCGGTCGTAAATAACGAGTCGAAAATATTTTAGAAAATCGCGAAAAGTCCACCGACGGACGACCGGGGTGCGTTCGAAAAATCAATACGAATTATATAACGTCGACGAATTTTCAACCAGATTTCAAAGGCCTATTCGTTTTTGGGTTTCACGTGATCACGTCGTTTTTGCTATAATACCGCCTGTTGTAGAAATACTGCAGAAACGCGCGAATGTGCGACAGCTGTGACGGCCTCTCGACGATAGGAAATGGCCGACTTTACGAGCGACGCGAAATTATCCCGGTTTCTAAAGGTTAAACAATAAAATATTTAATTTCGTAAAAACGAATTTCGAACATTGGAATACATCAATTATTATAACGGTCTGAGAAGTGAATCCTGGCGAATTCTGGCCCGATATTTACGTCCAAGGCCTGATTGAAAATCAGTATCTATAGCTAAACCATAAATTTTGATCAAACCTCAGAATATTTATTGTGAGTTGTATCACGTCTATAGGAAGTTTTTTGGGGATTTTACTATCATTTGTTTTGGGTTGAATTCTCCTGGCCGGCCAAAAAAAAAAAATAAATAAAAAAATAATACAATTTCCCGGTCTGAAATATAATTCCGGTCCGCCACTTAACTTGAGTATGAAAAAACGGTCGTCGGGACTATACCTGCTAATAATGATAATTATGTGAAAAAAAAAATACATTACGAAAAAAGAGAAAGCTTGCGGGGAATATAATATATAATATTTTTACACTGCAGTTGTATACCCACCTACCTACTTGAAATGTGGTACGAGTCGAGAGTGACGCTTTCCGTAAACGGTTGGTTTAATGCCACTGTCAACAAACCGGTTCGACGTTCGCTTTTGTTTGTCAAGGACATAAAGCAATAAAAAAAAAAAAAAAAATTTGCGCGCATAATACGGTAATATTAATAATAATATGTAAATGCGCGCGAATGTGTACAAAATAATAATATCATTTTTTATAATCGTTTACAAACGCGCGTGGCCGTAGTATAACGTATGCGTGTAATAATTATTTTTCTGTAAAAAAAAAAAACAGTAAAAAAGACGATGTAATAAAGTTTGCCAAAAAATAATAATAATAATAATAATAAAATAAAAAATTAGTCGGACGATTTTTATAATTTCGTCCGAATTCTGGCACACGAGTCGTAAAATTATGCACACGCGAGTTATACGAATTTAAATGGTGCCGGTTTTCCAAAACTGACTCCGATTTTATGTAATTTGAATTTTAAATAATGATCGCCTTAAAGATAAGACTTTATTTTTTATATTAATCTGATATCCGAGGGGGTCGGTTAACCTGGGGGATTAACTCTTTGACCTTTTACCTATTAGTATTTATAATACGTATTGTATAGTACCTACCTGTATGTACTATAAACTGTGTAGATAAATAAGAAAAAAAAAAACCGCAATAATAATAATATTTGTAAAAAAAAAAAAAAAAATTAATCTCCCCCTATGACAAAATCATTTTACCCCGCTCAATATTCAATACCCATTAAAGGATACGGACGAAAACGACCGATTTGTCGGAAATAGATTGGAAACTCACTGTCGACTTATAACCTATCGGTATACATCAATGACAGATTTTCGATTTTTTTTTTTAATTTGATTTTCAATGATATGATACAATAAAATGTAAACATCGATGCTTATTTTTCAAAACGCGTGTTGCAAATAAGTTTGAAATGATAATATTGACAAAAGGAGAGTTCAACGCGATCCGCAGTACATAATACATTTATAGAAAGTCTTTCGCTTTACAACGGAAATAAAAAAAAAAAAAAAAATCATTGAAAACAGACCGTTCTACAATTAGGCACGAGAGATTTCCCTGTAAGGCGTGTTTTCGAGCAAAATAATACGTGTTAGCGCCGGGCCCTTTTATTTCGAAAATTATACCGTCGATATTACTGTCGCCGCGATAAACACGCATTTCACACCAGAGTCAAGCATTCGACCAGCGTACTACTATTATGTAGTGTAGTAATTATAGGGTAATAACGGATTTGCCAATAATCATTATACATAGTGAATCTAAAATAAGAGTAATTGGACGAGCTTTTTAGAAAGGTCGGATAGGACGTTTTTTTTCTGTTTTGATACAGATACTTGGTTGGCGGTGAAAAGTAACATGTTTCCCATGGACTGTCCATACCAAACAATATTGTAATTAATGAAAAACTGCAGATACGCTGTACGGCAGCAATACACGGCACCGAGAATTGTAATCAAATGTTGTCGAATCCGAGTATAGGTTTGTCAAGAACTTTGATAAATGGCGATAAAAAACTTTTTAAAACGTATCATTAAATAATCTGCGAAAATCGAAGGAAAATCGTCTCTTGAAAAGTACTTCTTCGCTTCTATTCCGACCTCGTCACAACAAAATCGCCAAACAATAGGTATGGACACGCAGTGGATATTGACACATTATAATACAATTATCACCTAAAAAAAATACTCCGGCCTGTAACAAAATATCGCCAGTATTTAATATGATTTAATGTAAAACTAAAAATACAGATACAATAAAAATAATAATTAAAAAAAAAAATAATGATAATAATAAACCGGTTAATTGTTCGAGTTTGTTTTTCTATCGGGTGTTAAAAAAAAAGAAAAAAATGAATAATCGGTTTTCGTTATTTTGACGAGCGTTAAAATCACGTCGAAAATTAATCGTGTCGGGTGTTCTGCTGGAATACCACGCAGGTAGGTTTGGTTATCTTATCGTAGGTATCTTATGAAATTCCCTCATCGAAAACGGTTTTTTATTCTCTTTACGTCACCGATAATTTTGCAACTCCAATAATATTATCTAAACATAATAATTAGAATCAAGAGGAGATCTTTGGAAATAGAAGAACTACAATAACTATTTAAAATATGATTGCCAATGTAAAGGGAAATCCTATCGTCGTATATTATAATCAGAATTCGAATTTTATAGCGCTAAGATTTTAAAAACTATTTAAAAAATCAAAAAACCAAGTATAAAGAATTATTTTTTTTTAAAAAAAAAAAACCAAAAGAAACGAAACATAATGCTTTTAAATTTAATATTTGATCTTTCAAATCTTTTACACTCGCGAATTTGTATTGCCCCGTGTCCAACGACCACCGAGACACAAGTAGATACGATTACGCAAACGAGGAAATCAGAGTTCGATAATAGAATATAAAGGCTAAATAATTTTAAAATGATAAGGAGAGAGAGAGGGGGGGAGGAATCCGGGTTTTATCAGTGGTTTACGTAATCATAAAGTGAAAAAATTTGCAGAAAAAAAAAAAAAAGAAGAACCCAGAATTACTACAGTAAAAGCACCGTCTTTTTAGACTATCGAACGAGCGAAATTTCGTATTTGAACCGGTAACGTGACACAAACTATTGCTGGATTCAGTATAGCTTGCCAAAAAGAAATCCCGGAATTGTGATTATAATTTACGCGGGAACGAACCGATCAGGTCGACGATCTTTGTGTAATGCATTTTTCTCTGCGCAAAATACCGTCATTAATTTCGCTGGGATCTGCGTTTTAATTTAAGGCGAATATTTCCGTCGGCATTATACTTGTGATTTTTCACCCGACAAAAACATCGTCGTGCAATTTTCGTTTCATTAATCTCCGACTGCGTGCAACATAATAATATTATGTCCAATAATATTATTGTAATATCTAAAAATAGAGCTGACATAACAACACGTCTCGATACAACAGCTGTTATTCCTATGTATAATTTTGTAGATTTAGCACATTTCGTTGTGTACATTTTTTTATTATTTTTTTTTTTAATATTTATGTATCTTTAAAGAAAAACCGTTGTTTTTCGTTTGCCGCTAGTCACCGTATACCAATATACCGATATAAATGTCAAAACCATATTGTAAAAATGTGTAGTGTTCGGTTCTGGGGAACGTATTTGATGTGTCTGTGTGTGTGTTTCCGTTTTTTCATAACTTCTATACCGTAAAATAATATTGCTCCGATTTCCGAATTTAGCATATTTTCTGAAATTAAATATTGTTTTTTTTTTAAAAATTTCTTTGAAGATTTCTTAATAATTGGAGGGGGGCCGGAAAACGAATAAGTTTACCGACATAACGATTTTATTAATTTTAGTTTTTGTTTATTTTTTTTTTTTTTGGCTGTAATTCTGTTAAAAACAATCATAAAGTCCTAAAATATTTACAGAATAATTATATAGGCATTTTCTAGACGTAGTAAAATTCAAAAATTTTTGGCGATTTTCGAGTTATTTTTAAACATTTGATATTTTCGAACTTTTGAGTTTTAAATGGATTTATGTGGATAAAATGGTTTTGTCTTATCATAAATGTTTGAAAATATTACGCAAAGCTAATCAAAAATTGAACGTAATGTACCTAGTGGTTATTTTAATTAGCTTTTTTTTTTTAATTGAAATTTCAACGAAAGTCGTAAAAATCACGGCATGTTTAAACATGTTTAACGGAACTTTGCTCAGAATCGCAATACGTATTTCGCGATTAGCTGTCGTTGTCTGCAGATAAAAATTGAATATTTTATAATGTATAGAAAGAGACGTTATAATATTGATCTTTTATTATAGTAACCTTTGTTTGCTCCGGTATAGTGTCGCAGAACGACAATATACGCGTGACGATTTTTTTAATTCTTTCGCTAGGTCAAATAATATTGGTAATCGTATTTGAGAAAAATTAGTAGTTACACAGTTAGCTAATATGATAAGCGATAAATATTATCTATCAGTTATTGTGATTCTCATTGTAACGCGAACAGAGTATGTATAGTTTTGGCGTTAGATTTTTTTTTTTTTTTTTTAAATTTTTTCTTATGGTTCAGTGATAATTTGTGAGTATAAATTAATAATTGTTATTACGTCATTCCGTATAATACAGAAAACGTCTCGAATATAATTTATTACATTTTCGTACGCGATATTTTTGTATGATGTATACCTATTTGTACGAATATTATAATTTTTCCGAATATTTTATACGTGCCCTATACGCCTGTGTCGCCATCGCGATTTCGTCGAAGTACCCGTATAGCCATGTTATATGCCTATAGCGTAGCTATAGTATGAAAAAAAAAAAAAAAAAAAAATTGAATAACTTCTACGAGAATAATATAATAGTTGCGCGGTGTCTTTAGAAGGGGAATTCAAACGAATGTGTGTGTACGTGTGTGTGTGCGTGTGCGTGTGTGCGCGCGTAGAAGTTGCCCGTTCCGCGCAAACTTCTGGAATAGAAAGTGAAATCTGCAGGTGTATCGTCGGTTCGTCGACCTCAACCGTGCCAAGACCCGGGCCGACCGCGAACTCTCGCGCAAGAACCATAATATCGCGTTACATAAAACTCGACTCTGTAAAAAGGAAGAACGTTACTATACTGTATAAAATAAATAATAAACATCAAGGTTTTATACCGTGGTACCTGCGCGTACACGGATAACTGTACGGTTATATAAACGGTCGAACGCGCCGCGACAGGAAAATTTTTGCGGATTTTCGCGATTTATTAACTACCGGGGAACAAACGGTTTTCTGGTTTTCGATTACGAGCGCGGCGAGGAACGTGTATTGGATTTTTTTTTATTTACGATGAGCGTTTCCCCCTCCCCCTCCCGCCCCCATTCTTAAAACGACATTACTACCGAATATCTTGTTCTTTGAAAAACGTATTGGCATTTTCTCGTAGCGTTTTTTTTTTCTTTTTTTATCCGGTCGGCACAATACGAAGTGGTCACTTTTTCTTTGTAGTTTTTCCCTAAATAAATCGGATAAACTGGCGATTGTCATCCGCGTGACTTTTGTTGATTTCTTCGATTACTTTGGAGACAAGGGGAAACGCGCGATTAACTATTAATATTATATGCTCTGCTCGGTATCGATTTTCGTTAGCAATATGGTTTATCTATGCGTGTAGATTTAATAATCTGCTCTATATTATATAATTCCTTTCAACTTTTCACCTAAAACAGTGATCGGCACACCCATCGGCAGTATCGGATATTTTTCGTCACGTCGTCGTAAAAACTTTGCTAATTATATTCTATAAGCTTTCAATCGAATCATAATTCAACAACGATAATTATTTTATTTATAACAATTATTACTCTACTCGTTTATATTGTAGAATAGTATATAATGCTGTTATTTTTTAACAATCGCTGATGTGCACGTGTATGATGATGCTGAATCAAATCATATAATACGCACATTTTGTTCGTGTTTATTATAATATTCGAATAATAAGGGCGGTGTATTATATAATACATAGGTGGTGCGCGCAGTATTCAAATTTTAATCTTTTGAAACAATATCGTTTAATCGCGAATTCGTGAAGTTTTGCAATTTTCCTCGGGTGGCGTGATGATGTATACCGAATTTCAAGTGTCTGATTCTGGTATATTCATTGCAGCGCGGTGGACCCTTTCATCGGAGGTAGAACCCTCTTTGCGCGCGAAACACACTGTTAGGTAAGGACACAAAGGTCCCTTGTTCATCATGAAGGAGGCACTTTTAACAAAGTCTGCAGGCTTTCAAATTTAAGCCCCCTCTCTTTCTCTTTCTTTCTATATATATATATATATATATACATGTATGATGTATATATATATACATCACATTATTATTATGTATATACGTGTGTTCAGAGTATTTTTTTTTTCAAATATATGTACATAGAGTTTCTCAGATTAGAGATGTAGATTTCAGACTTGTTTTAATTATTACGATGGTTTTTTTTTTTTTTTTGTCAAACCCTAACCGACCGAAATGTGAATAAGTAATTAAAATGCGCGTGTATTATAATGTATACCTAACGGTATTTTCTTCATTTCTACATGTATCTATTGCTGTTTTTTTTTTTTTTTAATGGAATGGGATGATATGTATACAGTTTTCAAAATTTTATGTGAAAAATTGACGTTTTGATGATCAGGCAGGGCATTTTTTTAATGAATATCCACCGCGTGTTCACTCCCCTTTCTCTTAAAATAAAAATCTTCACTAGCAGATAGATTTATCTTTCCTCTCTACTTTTAGACTTTCTACAATTACCCTTCCACTCACCAGTGAAAGTATATTTTCCTATACAAGTGTACACCCAGTAAGCAAAATCTTATTCTACATGGGTGTCCGATGGATTTTGATGTGTTAACGTCTTTAAAAACGGCTTTATGGTTGAGTACATAAAAATCAACATTCAATAAAACGTTAATAGTTTTCAAAATTAATAATTTTTTGGAAGGGGGACAACAACTTAAATGACGTAA